TAGAAACGATTATCATCCTTGTTCATTCATACCTATCTTTGGACTACAGCCATATATGGGTATGTATTATCGGAAATTGTGGACAGAGGTGAGGTTACTTTTTGATGATGTATTCTCATCTTATTGAGGCAATTTTTGTCTCAGATGTTGGCGCTGGATATACATGAAACTTTTGATTATGAAGACGACGTTTTGAAGACTGGTGAACGTTTAAAAACTACAGTTCTTTCACGTGGATCAGGTGACGTAGCCAAAGAGCTCTATCGAAGATTTCAGGTATTTTGAGTTATATTTTGTAAACACAAATCAATTACTGGTTACTTTTTACTATCTGACAGCATATATTTCCGTCTTCCAACAAAAGTTCCCTTATTCGATTCAACTCGGATTCAGTTCTGCCTTTAGAAGGCTACGGATAAAAGCGTGGGAAAATATCATTATAGAAGCGAATGATCGTGGAGACCCTCCTTGAAGGGGGTTTACGCTGTGAAAACCTAACTCATCATTTTTTCTCAATTTTCATTTTTTTCCATTTTCGAAAGATCAATTGTTAAGGGTCGAGATCCTAGCGTGGGTGCTATATGTGATTTCTACGATCCACCCTCGTTCTACCACTTGGAGGACGAGGCAACGCTTGGACGTTGATGTTAAAAACTAGGACCGTAGTTAGGAATTTCCGTAGCGTTGTACATATCTTTGAAAGTGAATATAAATAAGTTATAAAGAAAATGTTTTTATTGCTTCGTAATTTCCTCTCTTTGTCACAAACTTTGTCGTACAAGAGCGCTGCCCATACGCTCGTTGTTATAGCTTTGTGTTTTCATAATTGGCTGAAGCCTGGATAAAGCTAGGCTGTTGTTCTCTGCTGACCATGTTTTGTATATTGTTAGTACTTTTCAACAGTATACCGGTACATCTTGTCTGTTTCATCGAATGAAAATTTGTTTGCAATCCTTGGCGTGTTTCGATGCGTTCAAAGCGCAGTCGTTCTTTGAAGCAAACTTGGAACATGCCTATCCTTTTTTAAATGTTCAGGGTTATGTCCAATACCACTGCATCAACCGCAGATGTGAAGTCACCTGAAACAAACATTGTTACGGAGGTACCCGAGAGCTTGCATCGTGCTCTTCTAATGATGGTCAAAAACTTCTTTTCGAAGGTAATCTCTGTCTGTGCATGGGTACACTTTGATACATAGATGGTTCACTGCAGGAACATTGAGCGGTTCGACAAATGCAAGTTTTTTGCTAACAATAAGTTTGTGTTTTGTCTTTCGAACGAAAGTTGACCCACATATTGCCGTCTGAGCCTTCCCACGACGCACTGTAGTCCTTTTGCAAACAGTCTAACGGCTGACTTTTTCGCATGCCGATATTGCAGACAAAACGAAGCAGAAGCGTCTCACGAAAAACGGCGTACGGGACGTCATCGCTTTGCAGAGCGGTTATGCGACGTTTTGAGAAAGTCTGTCGCCGACTAAAACGAGTCAACTTTTGTTGGAAAGAGTGCTCATCTGTATCGTTTATGGTCAAGCAGTGCTCCATTGCTTCACAAAAAAAAACAATGCTACATCCGTTACAAAGAAACATCACGGGTGAGAGGCGTTTGAAAACGTCTTTATACCGTTTACATTCTGTTTTATATCGAGATCTGAGGGCACCATCATGCTTTCCTTAGTG